CTAAACCCTCAACCCTAAATCGTGCCATTCTTCAGTCTGACTTTCGTAGGGCTTTGGGAAGGAGGCTTTCCGGTTGCTAGTGGGAGCAGCTGAGCGTGAATCCTCGAACCCTGAACCATCCAGAGAGCCCAGCACCCCTTAATTAAGTAATGTGCCTTAAACTATAGGGGCCTTAATATTATAATCATAGGAGCCTTAATATTCTAATTATAGGGGCCTTAATATTATAATTATAGGGGCCTTAATATCATAATTATAGGCCTTAACATTATGATTTAAGGTCGGTTCCTTGATTCAGGGGTATTGGGCTCTCTGGGCAGCTTTACTATGTGCAGGGCCTCTGCGGCTTTACTTGGAGGTTCATGGGTAGTTATAAGTAGCGTTATAAGTAAGGTAGCTATAGTTCTAACCCATATTAGGGGACTTACAACCCCACTTATAACTACCCCTAAACCCTAAAAGCCCTATAGAACCCTTTAAAGGAACTCTTTAAAGGAACCCCACTTATAACTACCCATGAACCTCCAAGTAGGGCTTGAGGGTTGAAGGCCTTTAGGGTTTCCAGGGTGCAGGGTTTAGGGTTTAGGGTTACGGGTTAAAAGGTTTAGGGTTTTGGGTTTAGGGTTTAGGAGTGGTTCTTTGGGTTTCAAGGTTTAGGGCTCAGGGCTTGCAGGGCTTTAGTAGTTTAAGACTCAAGTTTTAGAGGGGTTTAGGGGTGGTACTTAGGGTTTTCAAGGTTTAGGGCTCAGGGTTTGCAGGGCTTTAGTAGTTTAAGGCTCAAGCTTTAAGAGGGGTTTAGGGCTCAGGGTTTGCAGGGCTTTAGTAGTTTAAGGCTCAAGCTTTAGAGGGGTTTAGGGCTCAGGGTTTGCAGGGCTTTAGTAGTTTAAGGCTCAGGCTGTAGAGGGGTTTAGTGTTGAGTGACCCTAAGCCCTAAACCCTAAACCCTAAACCCTTGAGTGTGTACAGGGTGGACCCTAAAATCCTAAACCCTAAAACCCTAAACCCTTGAGTGTGTACAGGGTTTCAGGATTCGGGGTCCGGACTCCCGCATGTCCAAAACGCGACTGAAACGCCTGCAGCAGTGCAGCGTTGCTTGAAACTGGGGATGTCAACCCTGCACAGTAACCTACCCGTGGATCCAAGAAGTTGCTGGGATTCTGCTTGACACTTCGGGTTGTAACCTACTAGTTTGTATGGTTGAAAATCTTAACACCCTAAACCCTAAACCCTACACCCTCAATCTCAGGACTTGTTGCAGTTTGCTTCTACTCCGGGTTTGAACTATACCGATGAGCCTCGGTTCTAGCCTCGAGGTCATGCCCAGTACTTTGTAGCTACGGAGAAGTTTCAGGGTTTAGGGTTTAGGGTGCTACGGAGAAGTGTCAGGGTTTAGGGTTTCGAAAGTGCACCGTTCAGGGTTTTTGGATGAGTCAGACCGGGCATCCCTGTCTACTTGAAGATCTGTCTATGAAGTTAAGGCCGCATTGGGCTTCCTGGGGTGTTCACCTTCGGACAGTTACGGTTTAGGGTTTAGGGTTTAGGGTTTTAGGTTTAGGGTTTAGGGTGTAGGAATTTAAAAAAACTCAAAACAACTTCCCGCCCCAAGCCTTACACCCCAAATCGGCCCATCTGGGGGCACCAAAATCCAGTCAACGCCCCTATGAAGCCGGCAAACGACATCTGCCAAACTACAAGCACAAGCAAAGCCAGACTCTTCTTTAGGGTTCCCAGCGGGTTGCAGGCCCTAATCCCAAAGCCCTATAAAACTTGTAGGTAGTTCTCTAAGTTAGTGTCCCGTTTTAGGTCCCCACTACAGTACGGCACCCTTATACAAAGACCCCTAAAAGGGATCCTAATTTAGAGAACTAACCTTGTAGATCCCCTAAACCCTAAACCCTACACCCTATACCCTAAACCCTAACTCCTAAACCCTAACTCCGTAGATCCTAAACCCTAAACCCTAAAGCCTAAACTCGAACCCCATAGATCCTAAACCCTGACCCCATAGATCCCTTTTTAAGGAACTTCTGAGGAGCCCTTTCTGAGGAACCCTAAGTGGCCTGAGCGCAGGGTGACGTGGGAGCCGGTGGAGTCCTCCGACCTGGCAATCAAGGCCTTTTTGGGGTTTTGGGGTTTCCTGACAGGGAACTATATATAAGGGTTCCTTTAAAGGGCTCGAAAACGGCACTATAAGGGTTTAGGGGTTTAGGGTTCTGGGGTTTGGTTAAAAGGTTCATTAAAAAGGATCTATAGGATCCATAGGGTTCCTTACAGGGTTCCTTAAAAGGGATCTATAGGATCTATAGGTTTTTGGCCTTACGGTTTAGGGTTTTGGGTTTCGGGTTTTGGGTTTCGGGTTTTGGGTTTTGGGCTTTGGGGTTTACGGCTTGGAGGTTCAGGGGTTTAGGGGTTAGGGTTTTGGGTTTTGGGTTTAGGGGTTTATTGTTTTGGGTTTAGGGTTCAGGCTTCAAAGGGCTCCCTTGGGCTTGGAGGTTCATGAGTATAGTTAAAACTGGAATAACTATAGCTATAACCCATATTGGGCACTTATAACCCTACTCATAACTACCCATGAGATTCCCTGTAGAGCTTCAAAGGGCTCCCTTAGGGTTTACACGGGTAGGGTTTAGGGTTTGGGGTTTAGGGTTTAGGGTTTGGGATTTAGGGGTTCAGAGTTTAGGTATCGGGGTTGGGGGTTAAGGGTTTGGGGTTTAAGGATCAGGGTTTAGGGTGAGGGATTGGGGGATTTGCGATCGGAGTTTGGGGTTCAGGGTTTACGGATTCAGGGTTTAGGTTTTAAGGATTGGGGTTGGGGGTTTAGGTTTAGTGCTTAGGGTGAGGGATTCAGGGTTTGGGGTTTAGGGTGTATAGTGTTTAGGGTTCAGGGTGTAGGGTCTAGAGGGCTCTTGGGAAGGTCGTCCGCCACAGCTACTACGTCTCAGCGTCCTGGACTGCTTACAAGCCCGGATGCCCGGCAAAAGACAGTCACCTTTTAGGGTTTAGGGTTTAGGGTTTAGTCCGTTGGTATTGCAGTTGGGCCTTTGCCCATTTGATTTAATTCTCAGTCCTGCGATGCGAGCTGTTTTTTGATGATGGCTGTGGTGATGTCTTTGGGGTTAGACTCGGTTTGACTGGCAACTTGTCGTCTTGATATTGTGATTCTTTTGGCTACTACTTTTCTCAGTAGTAGTTGCCGCCGCAAACTCCAAAACTAGTCATGGACCTACTGCTCCCAACCTTGATTCGCTTTTCCGCATGTTTAGTCTTATTCTTCTCGTGCGTCTTCCTAGTATGTTATCTTGTATTCATACCACCATGTAGCCACCATTTGTGCAAGTAGCTGGCTTGATCCGCACAACTGTGTTGTTACTTGCGCTGTCACTACGACAGGATAACAGGATTATGCCTGCAATCGTATCACGTGCTGCTGTCGGCTTTGTGGTGGAGGCTGTCGGACTATCCTTCGTATTGTTGGGACAGTTCCTCGTTGTAGATGGGTAGTTCAACGGCTTCGGACACAGATAGGATGGAACTGCTGTGAAAAGACCCCAAACCCCCTACACCAAAAACCAAAAGTGCTGCACTCCTTACCCTTAGCCATCTGTACCCCTAAAGCCCCAAACCCTAAACGCCTAAAGCTCTGCACCCCTAAATTCCGATGCCAAGGCCCTTAAACCCTGAACCCGAGGCTATACCATCTTAAACCTTTTAAACCTTGCACCCCGAAACCCGCAGCCGCAAGGCCCGGAACTCAAACCCACCCCTCCCCGAACCCTCAGCCCAAGGTCTCCAGCCTTAATGTGTGTTGATGATGACTACAGACCCTCCGCGATCGAAGCTTCATGCTCCGTCCTTCCACCCCTCCTGCTTTTTGGGTTTTAAGGCTTGAGCTAGGTAGACCTTTGGGACATTTTATGTTGTCCTTTGTGACGTGGATCGTATTTTCCAATGGCCTTAACAGGGTCAGCCTAGTTTTGCATGTTGACCTTATTGGCCGAAGGTATATTCCTGAATTCCTTGGTTTTGGCCCCTTGGATCATCGGAGAGGCCATTCGAGATGGTGGCCGTCCGACGGGGCGAGCTCTACGAGACCACCGTGAGGACGCAGTCTTTGGGGTTTTTTGGCTGTGGCTTCAGGGTTCCGCGAGTTTTTGTTGGAGGTACTGGTCAACTGCCCGTAGATATCGTCCACGGGTGCACAACTCAAGAGGCACGTGTCCGGAGTGTTTCCGGACGTAGGTAAATCCTCGTCACGTCCAAACCTTAAACCTTACCCCAGACCGTAAACCCTAGACTTCTTAATCCTCGGGGCCGAAGAGCTTGGCTAACATGCGCTAAACCCTAAACCCTAAACTTTATTTCTTTGGCCACGTCCCAAACCTAAGCCCTCAGCCCCCCACACACCTAAACCCTAAACCCTAAACCTTAAAACCTTAAAACCCCAAACTCTAAAACCCTGACTCCCCAAGCTAACAATCGACAAAACAAGGCAAGACCGGAAACCCGGAGCCCTCCGCAGCCTAAACCTCCGCAGGATAGGCATTCACGG